AGCACATTACATTCTCTTGACCTTAGCCATTGACCGAGGACTTTCTTACCTAGTTTGTTTCAATCCCCAGTAAATCGTGGTACTTTTTTTTAATATTACTTAGCTTGCTTTGACACCCTAAAGATCCCGATAGGGTTATAGCTTGGAAACCACGCCTACTCAAGTGAAGTCTCTGAATTTTAATGGGTATACTGACTCGTTCTGTTTTGACATGCACTGATATGTGTAGGAAACTCTAATGGTCCACCAAATATTTTAGAAAATCGGAAAAGGATAAAAAGCGATGAGGAGGTTGCCCGAGAGAATAAAGAAAAATCTTTCTCTCATTGTTGTGGTAATTTCAGCTGTAGTCAACCAATGAAACAAATTGGTTCCACCAGCACATGTCATGATTATAGTAGGGAAATTGACAAGACAGTCCAGCGCACTTGTTACTTTTTCCTGCCTAGGATAGAGATCAAAGCTAAGTACTTGTAAAAAATAATTGTAAAAATTGTAAAAAATGTTTTTTGATAAAAGACATCAAAGCAAGTAACCCCTTATATATGACTTGAACTCTCTCTCTCAATATGTCTCTCCCTCTCAAATACACACAGACAGGTACCTTAGCCCCTGAACATATTTATTATGTAACCCTTTTAGCTGTTCAAAGTAAAACCAATAATCTGACCAATGACCAATTTTTTCGGACAGATTGACCAACATAGGAGGTGAGCAGTAGTGATGCAACTATGGTGTCAACTGTCATCTCCTTTGGTATGATTGAATGGTCATCATATGTAACATTAATGTGCAGAGCGTCTATCTCAGACACTCAGCACTGAGAAGTGACGCCAACACGAAAAGGAAATAGCAATGTGTTCCAAATGCACAAAAACAATTACAAAATGTTTAAACAAGCTTATTTGTAGCTTTGCTCAAAGCAAATCTCATGGACATTTTGCATTTTCACTCATGTTGAGACTGGCAGGATGAACCGTCACAGGTTTTCTTAAGTTAAGAGAATCTAAATGACAAAATGATGTTGGGAGTGAGACATTAATTGATAATCAACATCCCTTTCTGTCTTGCACCTAAAAATAACCAAAAAAGGGCATACCTATGCTGGATTGAGTGGGATGTGATGTATCTTTCTATGGACATCGCCTGCTACATCTTCCAAAGGCAGATTTCCTGAGGGGCTAATAACTCTGTATCAAAAGTGACAATTAATGTTGGTCTAAAGGTTGTGGTCATCACAAATAGACCTGTTCCAACAGTGAGCCATCCCCTTCTCGGTTAACTGTCCAGTAAAGTGCTTTATGCAGTGGCCCCCAGAATAATATTTACTGCAGCAGTCAGTCTCATGTCGCTGAGCCCTGAAGGCCAATTCAGTATATGGATACATTCAACTCCATATTGATTATACATAATTACTGAAGGTATGTCTCTCCCCTTGACTCTGTTCACGTCTAAAGTAAGGTCAATGCTGTAAAGCCAAAGTGGGAAAAGCGTAGCTTATTACAGCTGTATATGGAGAAAGCTCTATGACCAGAGATACAAAAAAAAAAAAAAAAACAATATCTGCTGTAACTAATTAGCTCAGTCGATTATGCTGTCATTGCAGCATTTGGGACACAGATATTAACCTCTAACTACTGATGAAAAAGTTGTGGTTTAAACTTATTAAATGGAGAAAATAGGGGGGGGGGAAATAATGCATGAGGTGTCCTTCGTGACGCAATGCTCCAGGACGGAGTCAAGGTCAGAGGAAAACCTTTAATCTACCATTAGAATAGTGATGGAGCGTAACGTCCTTTGGAGGTCCAAGAATTGCTGACAAATGCTAATTCTTGCTGTAGTTCCAATGAAAAGGAACCATGTTAACGTTAAAAGACTTCATGTAGTTATGGAATCTAGATGGGCATGTCATTGTGGGCACCAGTGATTTAATGGAGAGCTCAGCTACGTGAGAGGTAGATATACATTACTTATAAGTGACTACATGTTAAATAGATGGATAACAGATATAGAAACAATGATATGGGGGGAGGGGTAGTACGGGCTGTAGAGTGTTATATTAACCATTTTGTGTTTTCGTTCTCAAAATTCACCACCGGCTGACCAGTCTTTAGCTACAGTTAATCATTTCAGTCTGAGAGACTGTACTGTACTAGAGTAGCTGTACTAGAGTAGCTGTACTAGCGTAGCGTAGTAATACGCTAGCATATGCACACGTTCATTTATCTATTTGTATGTGTTTGTGTTATGATGCTCAATGGACTTTGTGGACTATAAACACTTTCTTGCACAAGTAGTCTAGTTTGTGTATGCAAAAAAATGAACATTTTCTATTGAACTGATATTACAATAATGAAAAATGTAGAAAAACGAGGATGTTTAAAGTTGATCAACCCTTTCAAACACTGAGGAATAACTAGCTCTTCCTTTCTCTGTGTCTGTACTATACGTAGCCTACGTCTTGGTGATTAAAATATATATTTTTGTTATCCTGCACTGCATTAAAGAAAAAAATAGCATGAGAGTGAGTGGTAGTGTATGAAAGTGCATGAGAAAGGTTCATAGTAACGTGGCTGTTTAATTTTGAAGGAGCATCTATTTGTATAAATACAGAGATGAACAACAAGACATGGACAATTCTAATGAAAATATCTAATTTGGGAGTCAAGGATCACAGTCATGACCAAAGTCATTAAATGTCTTTAAACCAATTCATATTACCAGCCTAATAAATAATGGTTTTCTGACGGTGTAAATAGAATGAGGGGGCTTTCGGCTGAATTTGGCTCATTACTGAGGTAAGTGGGGAACAGTGGTGGTGAAAATAAAGATATCGTGCAGTGTGGAGGCAAATGGAAGAACACTGTAGTAAAACTGAGTAGACATGATGAGGGGGGCAACTTGTTACTTTGACATTGCTGTTAATGTCCAAACTCCAGGCCGATGAATTGAGACAGCTCCTCCCTGACAGCAGGGGGATGACTGTGGTGACATTGATCATGATGTTAATTAGCCCAATACATTGGATTGTGATAGTGTCCCTTCCGAAGACTGTGTCTGGGATGGAACGAGTAATGATGATGACAGCAATGACAATTATATTGGGTAGTGTGTAGGACAGCCTTTAGTGTATTAGCTATTCAGCTAACTGGGAACAGTAATGTGCATGCTCAGCCAGACAAATGGATGCCAATCTAGGTTGCACCTCATTATAGCTTGAGCTCAATGTTTTCCAATACATGGTATATCATATGCATTTTTGGAATATGCTGGAAGAATGTTGAGAAAACATAACTTTAATGTCAGCAGTGGTTTTAGTTCAAAGATGCAAAATAGAGCTGGAAATAAGACCAGGGGGAATTTTTGTCTGCACGGATACTTCAATAGCGGATTTCTCTCAACAACATTGCTGTATTTGCGTGAATCATCATTTGACATGCAAACCTCCCATTAAATACAGACTCCCTAGTCAGAAGGATTTCTTTTTTGTTTAAATAATTTAATTCTTAATGTGAGACAGCTTAGTTCTTGTTTTGACGTTGATTGTCAGCCAGCAAACTGACAGCAAACTGCTCAATGATACTGTCATGTACCTTTCAAAACATTTTTTAAATACTTGAAGAGATTGTGCAAGTAAAGAAACAAGCCAGTATTTTCTAAACTTGTGTTGATACCCAGCTTTAAATAAAGAGATAACTTTCACAAGTTTGTGAGTTAACACTTAATGCCCAAACACACTGAATGCAACATTGAAGCCACTCCTTTGGCAGAACCAGCAATACTTAGGGAAAAGGTTGCTATTAAATTTTTGTAAATTACAGAAACCCCTTAAACTTTTGGCATCACACCATCTATTAGAAACAAGAGACTGCCGTCATAATACTTTGGTGCTTGTCCAGCAATTTGACACAATTGTTTATCTTTTAAAATGCGAGTATCAAGCATAAGGGCACAAGATCAACTCTGTACCTCTAACCGTTGCCAATTATTTTTATATCAAACCAAGATTAATGCAAGAGAGTGCAAAACAATATCTCCCATCTTTTATTTTATCAGAATAATAGAAAGTATGAACCTAACGTGTCCAAGGACACGTAATGTTGGTTTTAACATTGTTTTTTGAGTGCAGCATCAAATCCTCCCTCGTCGGTAAACAGCTTGGAAAGACCAAAAGGGCACACAATTCACTCACTCTCAAGCTGAAGACAAAGGAAGCTTTACATAGTGACAGTATGTAAAGAGAGGCACATGCGGCTTTCTAAAGCCTCCTTTGAAACAGCCATGAGAACAAAAGTAAATGCCCACTTACGGACATAGGAATCTATCACAGGACCAACAACAAATGGTCAAAAATTCAAGGCTGTCATTGGCTATTTCTATCACCTTAGTGAAACACAGGAGAGAAAAGCACACACGTATAATTTGCAGCTGCAACATTACCGTTGCACTTGAGTGGCTGAGGTCTGCATTCAGAGCAGCACAAAGAGAATTCCATTTCTAAAATTCAGTCAGAGTAAATGCTGGTGGAAACTTTGAGTTGTGGTTTACAGTGTGATTTCAAACACAAACGCACCAGCAATTAAAAAGACAAGCATGGTTAGGAGCAAGATGTTTGGCAATGTGACCTTTTTGCAAGTCATTTAATAAACTGTCCCTCACTGTCGGGGAGAACAGCCGTGGCATTTAATAAGTGAATACAAAAATGTCCATACAAGTTGAGTGCGTGATTATTCTTGTGTGTTTGAAATGGTGAAGATGTTTTGATGGTGCACTTAAATGGACACAGCTTCAACAGCAGTTTCTGTTACAGCTTTATATTGCTCAGTTAAGACAAATCCTCTTGTGTTTGAAATCGGAAGGCACCATTATGGTAATCTGGCATGCATATATATATATATATATATATATATATATATATATATATATATATATATATATATATATATATGTGTGTGTGTGTGTGTGTGTGCATGTGCCCCGTTGTATAATTCATGACTGACCTCCACCAGCTTGTTGGCATGTTCACGGAACACCTGGGCGTACTCCTTGACCTCCTTCTCATTTCCACTTTTAGCCGCTTCAATAAGCACCAACAGCGGGACGTTGGTCTCCAGGAAGGAGTCTGAGATGTGGTCCATCACTGCCTTTCTCAACTAGAATATACAAGGAGAGACGTGGGGAAGAGACCACACAATACATGTTATTCCAGGTAACTGTATTACATATCATTTAGCTTTGTGATGAACGTGATGCAGTAACATAATGGGGTGAAACCACACAAACCAGGAAAGTCAAAAAAAGCCGCAGAACTCTCAACGGAGTGTAAATTGCTTGTAAGGTGTCATGTGTCCTATAAGCCCTTTTACTAAATTTTGCGACTTCTATCTTTTTTTATGGAATGGTTTTGAACCACACTCCCAGGGGACCATTCGTTTTAAAAGACAGTAAATAGACCTGAATGGCCCTTAATGGGATATATGATGAGGTGTCAGAAGGAACAGTATAGAAACCAGACAACAAGTCCTTTATCTAACACACATTATGAGTTAGTCATACAAGACCAGTACTAACACAGACAGGAATAAAATATAGGGTCAAAGGGAGCAATCCCGCTCGTGTGGCATCACCACCCATTTATATGATATAACATAGAGTCTGGATTCTTACATTATCAATTATTTGGGTGCCATTATCTCCACTACAAAATTGCATTGATACAAATGTTGCTTTTAGGCAAATCGTACAAAAAAAAATCAATTATCACTTCTAAAACCATTTAAATGATGGGATTAAAGTGAAACCTGTTTAATGTTAATTAAACAAATTTAACAAAGGATGACACTTATATTTTGAAGGCACATTCTGTTAATATATTTTAAGTAAAAATATCAGAATTGAATTGAATTTTTTTCAGAAACAGAGATGCTGTGACTGACAAAAAAGCATATGATAGTCAATCAAACTTGCATTAAATGAATTGCAGAAATTATAAACTTAATTGTCAGTCCGAAGATTAGTGGAGAAGGGAATTCTGTTCTCTCTAAGGCCAGATAATCCATCACTATAGCTCCTGCAGAGAGAATAGATTTGGCCAGTGTAGTGGACATAACAGGTCTGCAAATGCTGTAAACAACCTGAAGCCCACACTCTCTGTAAGCACTACTTCATCCGAAACTCTGTAACCCTGGATCACCAATGTGATACATACTCTGAATTAATGCAAGACCATTAAGTTTTTTTTTTTCAAATTGTGAGTAATGCATCTATTTCACTCAGCGGAGAACAGACATTGCATAAGTGCAATGGTGTAACCTCGCTATCCTGTCACCTGTTGGGAAGGGCAGAAAATAGATCATTGCACAAGAACTGTGGTAACACTATATGAGTAGTGTTGCAGCACTGGATAAAGGTGTTACAGAAGACACATCATTTTGCAAAGGGTAGAAACATAATCTCCGTGGTTTTCAGGCCTTTAACTGTGATTACTTCAACAATATTCGCACTCCAGTGAATGAATGAATTGTTGAGCTGCATTTTGCGTGTGGACAATGTTTTACCATCAAATAACAGTATCATGAGGACACGGCCCCAGGGATTGGATATTTGATTATAGTTTGTACTACAAATCTAAAAAATAGTTGATTAGAGGCGAGAAAACAAGGAAAACAGGCAAATAGGAGGTTTATTGTATCAGGTCACGTACATTTAAAAACGTTGAGGATTGCAACCACCTTCAAAATCAAGCAATAGACAATGTCACACTCTTTCTACATCATACATTCTTAGGATAGAGATGCAGTTGACACATCACATTTCACTATGTTAGCATATGAAAGCCAGTCATACACTTATCTTCTCTGTGTTCGATGGGTCCTTGTCACCTTTTGCTCACGTGTGAAGTTTAAAGTATGAAACTATTTCTGCTGTTCCTGAGGAGAAATGACTAGAAGATGGCACATGCAGTGGCTTTTATCATGCATAAGATGGGTGTAGAGGAGTGTCTGTTCTCTGGAGACAGACACGCCCAACAGTGAAAGCGATTCTGACGGTTGGTTTGAGTAGAGAAATGAAGCAGAAGAATGATTTCCCAAGTCAGAGCTTCTCCTGCACCATCAGCATTCTAATGTTCACACAACACTCCCACAGAAATCCATCTTCAATCTTTCAGATCTCAGCTTCCTCCATGCTCCACCCCCAACGTCTTCCTCTCACGCTCCCTCAGCATTTCGCTTACACTTAAATGAAAATAGGCCTGGAATTCCAATAGATAGTGAAAGCTCCTCTCATTATTATTTAGAGGGGCAGCTGTATTCACGGAGTGCCACATGGATTCAAGCTGTGTATTTACGTATTCATATCTGAGAGGTTTTTTTTGGAATGCTCTGGAATTTCGTATTATATCCTTGATTTAATGTGTTGCCTTACAGAAGACATTGTGGAGAAGCACTTTTTCTGAAGTATAACTTACATGCACAATATTAACAAAGAAAGTATTTTCTTTAGACTTTTGTGCTGAACTCTTCGTCTCGACAGAGCAACCACAACATCAACCAACATGTAAGATTAAATCCATGCAGGTTATTGCATAATGCTTATTAATATCCATGGCTTCACAAGAAGGTGTTTAAAAAATCATATATGTTCAGATGTCAAAATATGGGGTCGTCGTGGCGCAGGGGTTAGAGAAGGTGTGCTGGGAAGCACAAGGTTGTTGGTTCGATTCCAGGCTGCCCCATGTTCCATGTCGAAGTGTCCCTGAGCAAGACACCTAACCCCTAATTGCTCCCCAGGCAAAAATGTGAAAAAGCCATGGGTTTAAAAGTGTAATGTAAGTCGCTTTGGATAAAAGCGTATGCTAAATGACCTGTAATGTAATGTAAAATATGTATCTGCATCTGTAAAACTGCTCGTCCCTTCCCCACTGAGAGCAAAACACTCGACTAGATCACAACTCTTTGCTGTCCTTGCTCCGAAATGGTGGAACGAGCTCTCTGAAGACACCAGGACCGCAGAGACCCTTCACTTCTTCCACCACAAACTAAAGACACACCTCTTTAGACTTTAACATTAAGAGCTGAGAATACCACCCGATGAAGAGGTGAAGAGGCTAACAAGAAGCTCTGTAAAATAATACAAATGATGCATTTAAGTACTTGACAGGCAAATGCCCTCAAAGAGTGGCAGGACTCACCTTCACAGATAAGATTAGTATTAATTAGACACATTTGCTTTTCAATGGAGGAAATGCTCTAATTTTGTGGGATTAGGCACCTGCCTGGTCACAAAAAATCTCCTACCCCGTATAATCAGTGCATGTCACAAACAAACATTATATTAGCTCAAAATGGCCGCAATTTTCACCAGTGCACACATGCATTGGGACATGACTTATTGACGGCCCAATCGAGTCTTAGCTCATGTAAATTCCGTAAACCATCATGAAATTGTTGGTTTCCGTAATGTTTACAGTTGCACTTCAGTGTCTGTTGTGTTTTACTTGTGATTCCGAGCACATAGTGGTGGGTACCTTGGGTCAGCACAGGAAAGTTTCTTATTAAAATGTCAAGCGCAATCACAGCATAAACGGCTGAAGTCACAGCTGAGGGGAAACAGCCTGGGCAAATCAGAAACTAAGTAATAGCTCTCATATATGATATCTATCAGGGAGCATGGAAAGATGATTACTGAGAAAAGAGTGGAGAAATGGGAGGGGAAAGAGGGACTGACTGATCATTAACAGGCTAAGGACAAACACATTTTTCTTCCTGCGAAATTAACTACTTTAAATATTTACTTTTTGAGCACTGTAAGTATTCTTCATAAGTAATATATTTTACAACCTCAATAATCACATTCCCATGTAAGAAGACACCTTCTACGAGCATTCACTGTGTTTCATTAATGAGACACTCTTAATCGCCAAGACGTCTTTATTCTTACTGAATGACTAAGACTTCCTCTTTTTCTGTCATGGAACATGGCCTGAGTTAAAAGACATTCGAGAATGCCGTACTGAACTGAATATACTGTAGAATAATAATATACACTATATAGTATAATGTAGTGGTTATGAAAATTAGCAGATCATTTATGACAAAATCTAGTATATAATAGGCATTGAATGAAGTCAGTTTTTTTTTTAATCTACCCATATAGACAGAGCAAAAGGCTAATGTGCGAAAGCCGAGTTTTTCGGGTGATCCAGTTTGAATTTAGAGTTGGGCCCCTTCCCAAACTGAAGCCTTTTTTTAAATATAACTTTGGGGAATGTGCAGAGTTTGTGATTCAGTTATGTCTGTTTATGTATCAAACAATTTTTGGGAAGCCTTAGCAGAATTTGACGCTGTCAAAACACTAATTACACACATATCTTTTGTACTTAGCAAAGACAAATATATTTAGACAACGAGCAGATACAGAGAACCCTTTGCACTACTTTGGAGTCCTGTCTGCCCATCCGAGAAAGTGAATCGAATATTGGCTCGACTTACTTACTTTTACTATACCTTTACTGAGGAAAATAGTGTACTCAATGTATGCAACTAATCAGCTGTCTTCTGCATCTGGGATTGGGAAGGTAGGCTATTGTCTCAAATAACAACGCATTAGGGAATAGCATATATGCAATAGCATAGGTAATGGCCCTTGAAGCCTTTGAACAGATCTAAAGGTTGCAATATACTAAATTGTTATTCTAAACAAAGAGATACAGCTGATAAGTTTCATGGCAGATGTTCCTCCTTAACGTGATAACCCTCAACAATTAAAAACAGCTGTACTAATCAAGAAACTAATGGCAGCAAAGGAAACGGTTTTGACATGCCATAGCAGGAAGAGAGGGAGAGAACGGAAAAACAAAACGTGTGAGGCAGTTTTGGCAAGGGGAAACCTGCAATCAGCCGTCAGTCAAAACACAGCCCATAGAGATCACTTGACAGATGCATTCATTACAGAGGAGGACAGAGGGTAGAACACATGGCTCATCTACAACAACTTTGTACGGTCGGTTACCTTGTGAATACTAATTAAAGCCAAGAAAGAAACTGTGTTCAGAATTGTGCCATTTTCAAGGTGTTCTTTTTGGTTGCATTAGATGACAGTGACTGAGCGCTAACATCTAACCTCTAACGACAAGCACACACACACACACACACACTTCTGTACATTGCTACAACTCAATCTCTGCAAACTTTATTTTGTTTTTTGCAAGATTACATGCAGGCTGTACTATGTGAACTTCACGCTGATTGCTCACATAATCGGTTAAAAGTTGGTTGACTTTTATAGATTTGTGTGATTTTATTGGCTAACAGCTAAAGGAACTAGCAGGGTGCACGTCGCTGAAGCTACAGCCGCTTCTACAAAAGGTGGAGCTGACTGTGTTGACACACATGTACTGTACAATGCCTTACAGGCCGTTGGTGTCTGGACGGGGGATTCGGGGAATTTCAATTTCGGGTTGTTGTCATTCAATCATACAATAAAAGAGTTGCTATTATGCAGAGATCCTCCTGTAATGTTATTATGCTAATTAAACTTCATGGCGGGAAGATGATCATCCCGTCATCATTATCACATCTTGGACCGAAGGGTCATTTTGAAAGAAGCCCCATTGTTTGGGGCACCAGATGCACAGCAGGAGGACAGAGCTTCACCTGCTGCTAAAAGGCTGGTAAGGACTAAGGGGCACTAACTTATACCCGGGCCTGCCTGAGCACCGGGGATGCATCATGACACCACTTGCTTTTATTCTTCGGCGCCCCATGTAAAGCAAAAAATGTCAAACTACCTGTGTGAGACCACACGCTGGCTGGAAGTTGCAGCTATTTGTTTAACGTGTGCTGCTTTGGTTTCAAGGTAAGTAGACAAGTTATCTTTTGACACTGAACTGACATCATGACAAAAAAAAAGTTTTTCATTCAACCCATCAATCGGTCTCTGTTGACAGATGACATCTCTTCATTTTTCAACACGAGGTTTCTATTCTGAAGTATTTAGTTGTTCGGTAAATTTAAGAATTTGGGGGATTATAACTGTAGTTTACAAGTGGGTCTATCGCTTCATTTACACAAAATATCAATTGCATTTATACTTAAATATTATACATAGAAATAATGAGTTTTTAGTTAGATAGTGTAGATGTTTGTAGAAGCCAGGTAAGCCTTCAAGGGATCTGGGTTCTGGACTTGCGTTTTAATTGCTAGTGTATACACCTTAACATAAAGAGATACATTACTGAAGGGGTTTTGCTTTGAATGTACCCCTCAGTGGTAATTGAAGATCTCTTTTCAGCAAATGCAAATAAAGAAGCAACCATGTCATTGTGGATTGATATAGAAAAAAATGTAATTTTAAGTCATTAATCTCTGTTCAACACCTGCTTGCATATCGATCAGTTATTTTGTGTTTGAATGGGAGTGGAACAAAAATTTCACTTGTCACGTGACTGAAAAGAAATTGATAAACTGTTTAAATGTATGCATGGTTATTCTGCCTTGCATTGTCCCCATGGAATGTACAACCAAAACTCAACGGGGATACTTGACAATATACTGCATTATCCCTGGATAAAAGACAGCTTAGCATGTCTTGTAAACACAAGCATTATCACAAGGCTTGTTAGGTTTTACCTGCTCCCATTCCACAAACACTGTCATTTGTGCTTGTCTGTTGTAATTTTTGATTCACAATGGAGACAGTGATGACTGAAACGCTGAAACACACAATAGTGCTCCTCCCCTAAGGAAGGTCTTGTGTCTCTACACGGTGTCACTCGCTTGGTAAACTCATAATTACTGTATCACAGCTCTAGCTAATGCCCGCATGTCTGCAGCAAGTTTGCCCTCCCACCTAAACTCAAAAGCTCAAATAGACCGCCCATTCTGTCAAGCCCAAACACTGAGTCAATAGAACATCCCGTCAGAGTGAGTGCCGCCTGCCAGCCTGCCACGCAGCACCACCATGTGCTGCCCAAAGAGATGATGACGCTCGGTATCGAGTGGCATCTGGAAAGATTGTTGGTCTTGATAGGTCGAGAGAATACATCTGCAGCAACTCTGTGCAGGTCGTTTTGCCTGAGTGCCTCTCGAAAGAGAACCATCAAATCTACCCTGTATGGCAGGAAAGGTTTTTTTGATTGTAAAAATGCACTCACGGACCACGACAATTCCTCACAGTTTATCAATGGCTCTGCCATTTTACTCAAAAAGATGTGTGCAACTAAATTTCTGAGAATTAGAGTTTCGAAATTTTGGAATTTAAATATTAAATTAGTCTCGTCATACATACGTTGTTTATACCATATAACATCCAACAAATCCTCATCAAACTTGTTACCAGTGACAATGAAAAATGAATAACTGATGCCATTCAGCTCTGACGTAATATATAACAGAATCAACAATCACTTATTTATCACCATCACCATTGGAGCATATTAGAAGGCAACCTGAACTGAGTTCGTATTATCTAGATACATAAAAAGAAAAAAATAAGCTGAAATACTATTGAATTGTATGTGTACATAAGTAAATACATTTATATATGCATACATATTCTGTATAAACAATTGGATTTGAGTTAAATACTGCATCGAGGGATGGACGATAACACTAACCTAACCTTTAAATTGATGCATGTTCATTTCAGAGAAAGTTGGTACAGGGTCTCAAAGAGAGATTGAGAAGGAACATGAAACATGCACTCACCTGTCTGCGCAGGTCCCTGGTCTTTTTGGTCATCTTATCGATGGCTGAGTTCAACAGGTCACCTTTCTCTTTCCTGCCAGTCTGCAGAAGGAGACAAAAAAGCATGGTTATTATATTTAGAATACATGCAATTCAAAATATCATCTCGGTCTCAACATTGCGCCACATATTTCAGTGTACATCTTCCTATTGAAGTGGAGATGAGAAAACACTTAGTCACAGGACATGAGTGATATTACAAGCGTTCCACAATTAGACCAAAGTTAGTGACAACGTGACTCACACAGTTTGCTATGTTACCAGGCAACTAGCCTCTCCGGCTAACTATCAATGTAGTTACCGCTAGTTCCCCTGTGTGCAGCACTTCCTGTCACCGCGTACTCCTAGTGGTGACTAGCACATAGCTGACACACACAGAGTCACAGTCTCGTTTCCTAAACCCTGACTTGAGGGAGTAATCAGCAGCGCGAAGCTTCACCCTTTTGCAGATTCCGCATCTCACCTTTACCAACGCACTCCATCTAAGCGTTGGGAGTCACTCACACGCCAATACTAGGACAGGAAATCCCGCTGTCTTTTATACGGCCGTGATACAAATTGTGTTCATTCAAACACCAGGCTGTGAAATAGGCTTCAATTTGCAGCGTGCCACCTTGGTGCCCTGTTTGACACTTACAAGCCCTATTTTTTCTTCTCAAAAAAAAACAATGGGAAGAGCGGTGTGATTTGTACTACAGTTCATATATTTCTGCTTTTAAAATATAAATTGGGACTGCAGCGTGGACTAAAGGTTAGAAAGAGGCTGTGAGTGTCTTGGACTGAACAATTTCGGCTCCAGGACACGGATAAACGATCGGGTACCCTGATCCCTGCTGAGAAATGCATACATGTGTGTCAGACACTGGATAGTTGTGCTGTACTGAGAGTAATGCATATGAATTAAGGCTGACTTTCCGAGACAAAACCAAAGTTCTGGCACTAAACTAGTTGCCGTGCAGTTGTTGTTTACTAATTTCTATACAAAAATGTATAATTGTGGACAGTAAATCTAAGAAGTGAACCAAGGAACCACCAAAAAACAGGCCTTTGCGTAGAGGGGCTATGTAGTTGTTGCGGTGGCTTATCTCTCTGCTGCTGCACTATTGTCCTGCCTTCTTGATAATTGGGCGGAAGTGAGTGCTTTGTATCTATGTGACACAAAGAACTAAACCAGATCCCATCAGACTCCCACCTCACTGCCACCTCACCCCGAGGTTGATATCGATTGTCAATTTCGATGCCATGGTCATGATCAGGTTGTAAAATTTGATTTTTCCACATTAATTCTCAGACAGAGGGAACAGAACAGAGAGAAGATTGCAACTTGAACTTAAAACAGAGTGATATTGACTGACTGAGTTTGTCCCTTGAGGTTCTATTTGGCTTAGTTCAGTTCAGGCTTAGTGAGGACCAAAACTATGGGGCGCCGTTTGTAAAATGTTGCACGTTCTAAAATCCTGCGCAGTTTTGGTAAATTTAGCATTATTGTATGAACAAAAAAGCACAACAATATTCATATACTATATCACTTTCAAACATTTAGAGAGAAATTCATGAAAATTCATGCAATAACCTTTCCAAGGATAATGTTTGGCAGTAACACAAAGTTGTTAAATAATATAAATGTCAAATATAAATCAAAATGTTAAATGTAAATCTAAATGTTAAATCTAAATGTAAATGTTAAATGTAAAATATAAATGTTAAATGTAAATGTAAATGTTGAATGTAAATGTAACATTTAGATTTACATTTGACATTTATATTATTTAACAACTTTGTATTACTGCACTTACTTACTAACATTATTCTTGGAAAAGTTATTGCATGAAATTACATGAATTTCTCTCTAAATGTTTGAAAAAGTGACATATGAATATTATATTATATGATAATGCTAAATGTAGCAAAGCTTTGCAGGATTTTAGAAAGTGCGACATTTTACAAATGGCGCCCCATACAAAACCACCTAGTCTTCTTTTGTCTCATGCAATACTAGAAATTCAAGGAGGCGCCAACTTAAGGACAAACCACTGCAATCTTTTAGCAATTTCTTCATTTGAGTCGCATTCCAAGTTCAGCATGCGTTACAATGTGGGCACATCGTGTCTTGAAAATACTGCTCAATGAAAAGAGCTGGTAGCCATAAAAACAGATATAATTTCTTTTACTGGCTAATGTTTCGCAGGCTTGCCCTTGGCCAGCGCTCATATAGCTCAAGTTTTCATTCATAAAGATGTTTATAGGAACGAGTTATATTTGTCTCCTCACTCATACTACAGTTTGTCACCCCCTGTTCCAAAAGCAATCACACAATGCAGCACTTTTTGTGGAGCAATGCACCAAACTGAAAGGGAAGAAAAATTATTGTTATAATTTCAACAATATGTTTTATATTCAATCCCATATTCAGCCAAGAAAAGACCCACCTGACCCCAACCCAGCAACTAAACAGTTTACACACGGTTTTATAACCTTTTTTGTTGTATTCTCAAATATACAACAAATGTCCTGATAGAAAAGAGGATAGCATTCAGTTGCCCTTTATTATTTTCCACACAATCATACAAGCACATGTACGGACGGACAAGCCAGTCAGTGCTAAAGCAGAGGACATACAACATTAGTCATTGTGCTGCTTATTGAGCCTAATGTGTCATTAAAGCACCAGAGGGACGCGCAGGATTAAAGATGCTCAACGCCAAAACTAAAAAGGGGCTTAACGTGAACTGTTTTGAGGACACAAGTGTTCACATGATTGTGAATAACCTTGGCTACGCTGTCCTTTAGTGAGTCTAGTAAATTTATTAATATAGCATATTTAATAAAAACAGGAATGCTTGAAGAGATATTTCCGTTAGAGGTTTGCATGTATAAGGTATATATCATTAAAAAAGTAAAATGTTCATTACATTAGTACGGAGATGGAGAAGTTTTAACACTAAAACTAAGTGAAGAAATCCCTGCCGTTTTATTTCTGAAAATAAAACTCTCTTTAATCTGCGTTAAGAAGATTAAAATAACACAGTGATGTCAGTCTGAAGGGACACAAATGAAAACACTTGTAATTAGGACAGGTAAAAAAAGGGCAGCACTGTAATGTGTGTTTTCCTTATTTCTACTACACCTCTTTGAGTAATGCTGTACATTTGGGATCGATGAAATGTTTTTAACAGATACAACCAGTGAAGGACGCCAATATTACCCAAAATACACTTCCGTTGTACTGAAAGTACTGTTCTGGTTTGATATGTGAAACTTCTTTGACACATAATGAATAATGTATTGCTCACGTTGGGTTATCTGCGAAACATACAAAACTCAATTAAAAACACTACGCATGAATCCCCCATACATGTGCACAATGATTCATAGGTTATCCGATGCGTCAGGCTGATATTCAGCTCCGGTCTTAAATATGCGCATGTATGTGTGTGCGTGTGTGTGTGTGTGTGTGTGTGTGTGTGTGTGACAAAAAAAAAAGTTGTATTTGTCTACAATGTTTATCAGGGGAACTATTTAACTTTCCTCTATTCCAGGTGTTCCCTGTGTGTGCAAGCAACACTCTCAAACTCACAGCCATTAAAAGCCTGACAGCACAGTGGTCTGCTGATTCAATCGTCTACCGTACAGAAACGTTGATTGCTTAGTTATTGACTGCCACATAATAGAATGTGTATGTTTCTCTCTCTCTCTCTGCTAAAACACAAGTACCTGTGTTGTTTGCAGGCAATGTTCCAAATCGTCCCCTTCCATGATTTCCTACCCCCCCCATGTTCATCCTCACTTGGGGAGCGAAAGATAGAGGAGGCCGCCTGAAAGGAGGCATCTAGCGCATGGGGTAATGGAGGTAGGAGCAGCGGAGTCGCTCATGCCTTCAGAAGACGGTTGGTGGACTCTGTGGAACGGCTGAAGTTGAGTGCGCTCGCGCACTGCAGTATAATTTGCTGTACTGCATTTCTGATCCTGTGATGATGCAGTAAGAAATCAAAGGGTGCCTGCTGAAAAAATGCTGTGTTGTGGCAGAATGTTTCAGGTTTGTTGGTTTTTCATTTCAATTTAACGTGTGATATAAGAGCAAATTTAAAGCTGTGATAGGTCATTTGTTTCAATTGTCTTTAGATCCTGGCAGTAATAGATAAATCAAATGCTCGGAGAAAAAAAAAGTACTGGACATGTCTGTCCAATTATGTCATTCCTCTTAATTTAAAAGTATTGGATAAATTACATTTTGGGGGAGTGGCTTTGGATGGATGCCCCTAGGATGGGCTGTCAGTCTCTTGAAGTCTCGTGAATTCATTCATTCATTCTGGCTTGATTTTGGGATGAAACCGCAGTAGTTTTGTATTTGTATTGTACCCTATGGTTGAATGCACTTATTGTACGTCGCTTTGGATAAAAGCGTCAGCTAAATGACATGTAATGTAATGTATTTCTGTATACTTTTCTTCTGCCTTGTTTTTTAGTTGGATATTTTAAGTATTGCTAAGCAACAAATGTATCACTTTCTCCTTCTTACATTTGTTAATCCAGGCATGTCTTTCATGCTATTTGAGAGCATTTGGGTTAAACAATTTCTAAAGTCTTGTATCCAGCAACAATGCAAGATGCAATAAAGCAGTCCATCAAAATACTTCTAATGCAAAATACAACTTGACTGCATTCACACATTATCTCATATTAATTCTGCTTTTCAAACCATGTCTCCATGTCATAAATGCAAATAGCAAGAAAACCGAGGTATAGTGAAATAATAGAGAAATTATCTGGTAATTCATAGGCAATAACATGCCAAATCCATCAACGGGGCATTTCAATCAGTGTGAGGAAAATAGAAGACAGGGGCAGAGGCCTTTCAAGACCAACGTGTTAAATTACATCAATTCCGGTTCCTCGTCAATTCAATTAGGCAGGAGGGAGAGGTACAATTACTGTCCAATGTGGTTACATTGTCTACTGCCAGTTTAGAGGGGAAGTCAGTGATAACGAGAGGGTGAGGAAGCGTTTGTGTATGTGTGGGCCCTTGGGAGGCGGTTGATAAT